CCTTTAAGAAATACCAGAAGGGGATTGTTTGGCGTGTGCAGAGAGAACGCGTTGTTGACCCACATCACCCACGCAGTCTGTGTTTTGCCCCGAGCAGCCAACGGCGATATACCATGGGGATTAGAGATGCTTCTGGGGATGCAGCGGTGAGTAGTATTGGGTCACTCACGGCTCTCAGCGATAATCACCGAGGACACCAGCGGGTGCGAGTCTAGGGCGAAATGGCATACCCCAGCATCGTATAGAGAGCACCGAAGGGAATCACAAAAAAGTGCGGGGGAGAAGAGCTCTCTAGAATCTCTCCCGAGGAAGGGTGCGACACTTTCAATACCAGAATTGACAGCACTTGATATTGCTGAAATTGATTCTGCATAACTGCTCCCGTGTCTCACTGAGGAGCGAAAATCTACAGCAGCAATTTTCAATGCACCCTATCCTCAGGTATCACCAGTGCATTGTTTTCTGTACGTCTGTTGTGCTGGTTAAAGACGGTTGCTTCCTACCTGCGTGAGAACGCACCATCGTCATGCAAGGTCATGGAGTCCTCTGAAGACCACAGTGAGCCCAGGGTTTCGCTCGACACTTGGCAACGACGGTCGAGTCATCCAGTATGCTGTGCTTGCAGCGGGCCGTTCCGGTCAGGTCTTGCAGACCGTTCGGCGGCGATGAAGTTCCTCAACTCGCGAGAGCATGGCATAGTAGTTGCCACCGATGAAGTCTTCGCTCGAGGGGTCGACGGCCAACTTGTGGATCTGGTCATCAACATTGGCCTCCCGGAGGCCAAAGAAACGTATTCTTAGGCTGCTTGTCATTGGCACGTCATTTCCTGAACAATCAGGTATTCTGCACAGATCTGGTCGCTGTGGGCGTTTTGGTCGTCCCGGCACCTGCATCACCCTTCTAGAAGACGCAGGCGAGTTGGACGAAATACGGTATGATAGCCGGGGACCCGTCGGTGAGAGGTGTGACCTTTCGGCTCAGGTTCCTTTACGTTCAACTCGGTGTTCCTTTCGAGACTGTAGAATTGGAGCCGCCAGCTCCCGCTGCGGCTGCCTTGCCACCAGAAAACTGTTACTACTTTATGAGCAATCATCCCTTCACAGTTCACACTGATGTAGAGGCCAGGAAGCGTGACCTGTGGCAATTGCACGCCTCGGTATGGGGACTAACCACCTCTGAGGAAGGTCGGCAGTGACGGCAAGATGCTCATGTTGCGTTCCAGACTATCGTGCAGTCAAGTACGACAGCTTGATACCACGCCTTAAACCTCTCGACACGATAAAAGCTGTATCACGTTTCTTTTTGATGATACAACTAAAATAACCGATTTTTGTTTACCCTCTTCATGGCCATCGGTCGACCTCCGGTTTCTACTGCCGCTGCCCTCCCCTCGGCTAGGGAAGTCGCCCTGGCTATGTGTTCTGAGGACGACATGGCGCTTAGCAATATTCATGCAGAGTTCCGCGCTGTACAAGAGAGCACTGGCTTCCTGACGGACTCGGGCGTCTCGTGGATGGACACTCTCTCAGAAGCCCTTGTACGGAACGCTATCAGCGGCATGCGAGGAGGCGGCCTTCCTGAGAGAGTTGGTCCTCGGGAAGTGAAACGTGTCCTCTCTCCTAGCGTACTCGTTGATGGAAATCTCAGTGACGCAGCGGAGGCAAACTTGGTGTTAGTTATTCGTCTGCTGGCCCGGACGAAGGATGCCGGTAGGACTGCTGCTGATACCATAATTCCTCTGGCGAAGGTTTGCTCGAAGCCTTTGAGCAAGCGAGCGTTGAAGCTGTCGAGGGAAGTGAAGCACTTGCTGCCTCCGGAGCATAGGAGGGAGATTGCGGGTGCGATATCGGCTCTGCAGATCGGAGTGTACATGCAGGACGCTGGGATGGTTGATGCGCTGTTGAAGGTTGATGATGATGCGATGAGTGTCGTCAGTGAAGGGGATATGGCCGTTGCCCAATTTTTGCGCCCTCAAGTTCGCTACACCCAGGTCTCGAGAGGTTCTCGATACTCTCCAGGGCCTTTCTTCCACTGAAGTTGCGCAGACGGGAGAGTTCATTGCCGAGTTCCTCTTCGCCTTGGACTTTACTAATAATCTGAACACGGAAAAATTACTAAGGCTGTTGGACGGAGAGATGGTGAATCTGAAGGCACGTGCGCCAATGCTCGAGTACGCTGACTACTTGCCTGCGGGAGCCAGTGTGGCCCACCTACTCCTCGTCTGCTTCGATAGAGGGATAGGAGGAGTATGCGAAGTGCTACCCCACCTCATGTCTCACTGGCAGGCTCAGCTCGCCCTTCAGCAAGATCTCGGCCCTGTCGACGTGCAGTGCCTCGATCTCGTGGGCTCTGCTCCTCTCCTGCGGTGTCTCCAGCCATTACGGCCCATAGCGGGCGTGGGAGAGGGCGCAAGCTGTCTCGTGGACGAGTTGATCAAATTTGGGGCGCGGCGGTCATGCACGATTATGGGACTGTATCGCCATCTGGGCTCGAGAGTTCGTGCTCAGCCGACGCGATGCATGTGCAGATGCAAAGTTTGTAGTCGGTGGATGACCCTGACCCCAGACGTGGAACCACTGGTTTGGGCGAATCTTGCTCGGATAGCCGAAGGGGAGGACGAAGTGAGCCGGGCAGAGTGGATGAAATACGACAGGTCTCAGCAGCTGAATGAATTACTGGTGTACCGGCCAGATGGCACTGACAACGATGAAGTCCTAAAGGAGATGAAGAGGCTCCTCGAGGATGGCGCCGACCCGAATATCCCACTGGAAGGAAGTAGGAAAAGCGTGCACTGCTCCACAGCTGCTTGAGTGGTCCTCGCAGGGTGGGCGAGTGTTGAAGGGCTCTTCCCTATTCATTCCTGTACCAGCCCAACGCAAGTGAAGTTACTCCATCGGACGGGTGCTGATATGAACGCCTTATGCCAAGGCCAGACAGCTGCCGATATTGCTGTAGGCTCGAGGCGGGCTCTCGTTTTCCAACGATTCGTTCACCACCCACTGTGTCAACTAGACGGGCTACTTTTTCAGCTTATCCGCGGTGACCAGGAGACGTGTAGATGCCTCCTACTCCTCGGTACTTCCCTCACTTCCACTGGGGTCAGACGGCTTCTATCAATGCCGAGAGAACGTGCGCTGGCGATGTATCCTTCGAGACACCTGCTCCCGAATGGGACGGGGTGGCCGAAGAAGATCGAGGTACTGGCAATCGTTTTGGGCTACGAGGGGCCGAAACTCCCTAGGAATTTCAACAGAAGATTTGTGCCAGGTTTTGAGCGAGCGGGCTCACGCGGCAGAAGATGCCCTCTACAAGCTGGGAGGGCTCTTCTCCAACCTTGATGAACGACGAGTGAGTGTCCTGTCGAGCAACAGTTCCTTAACGAGCGCCATTACTCTCCCCTAGGGATCCGAGACACGAGAGCTCCATTCCAATATCGAGTCCCTCGAGAATGTGGTCGAGGTGAAGAGAGAACAGTTGAGCGCACTAGAGAAGGACGTGGACGAGGAGGTGAGCCGCCGCATCGCTAAAATCTTGACTCGATTATGGCTTCAGAACAACGCTGCTCGACAAGGGCGATTGCTCGCACGTTACAGGCGCAAGCTAGCCTGCCGGTGTGGTGCGAAAGTCCAATACGCCACGGTTGATTGTGGCCACGGCCTGTGTGAGAATTGCCGGTGCAAGGCGGGTGCGCGGTGTCCAGAGTGTGGACAAGCAATCCCGAAAGGATTCGTCCAACTTCGTTTCCTCCATAGTAATACGTAATCAGAGCTGATTGAGGTTGTGCGCCAGTTGAACGTCAATGCGATTTGCTACTCGTCGAGCGCGTTCCTAGTGTTCTCCACCTATGATCGAATGCACGCGGATAATAGTAGGAGTAATATTCGTTCCAGAATTAGTTAGGGAGTAGCCACCCCTACCTTAGGCACTCTGGTGTAGGTCGCATAGCGCCTCCATTGCGCCGGGGTTCCCCGCGAGGGCACCGGTTGACTGGGACCCGTGAACTGGTAGACTCGAAGGCGGCTGAGGGGTTCCGCTGGCCGAGCCGCGTCGAAGTATCAAGAAAATAAGGAGTTATAATGGTGGCGTTGGAACGTAGTGTTCGGGTTTTAAAAACCCAGTTTTTTCAAAACCCGAATCATCTGAGATGGTTCATCTCGCAGAACTGCTCGTGGTCACAATTTGAGCGTACAAAAACGCTCAACCGTTTTCAAGTGCTGCAAGGAAATCCGGCAAAATTCCAGAAAAATTTCTTGCTAAAATTTCGGAAAAATCCTCACCTGAAAAAGCCAGTCGCCCTTGGAACACAGCCTTCTGCCGGAGTTGAACCGACGACCTCCCGCTTACTAAGCGGGTGCTCTACCAACTAAGCTAAGAAGGCACGATCCTCTCAGAACTGCTCGCTGTCACAATCTGAGCGTACAAAACGCTCAACCGTTTTTCAAGTGCTGCAAGGAAATCCGGCAAAATTCCAGAAAATTCCTTTTTGCCGAATTTCGGAAAATCCTCACCTGAAAAGCCAGTCGCCTTGGAACACAGCCTTCTGCCGGAGTTGAACCGACGACCTCCCGCTTACTAAGCGGGTGCTCTACCAACTAAGCTAAGAAGGCACGATCCCCTCTCAGAACTACTCGTTGTCACAATCTGAGCGTACAAAACGCTCAACCGTTTTTCAAGTGCTGCAAGGAAATCCGGCAAAATTCCAGAAAATTCTTTTTTGCTGAATTTCGGAAAATCCTCACCTAAAAAGACAGTCACTTTGGAACACAGCCTTCTGCCGGAGTTGAACCGACGACCTCCCGCTTACTAAGCGGGTGCTCTACCAACTAAGCTAAGAAGGCACGATCCTCTCAGAACTGCTCGTGGTCACAATTTGAGCGTACAAAACGCTCAACCGTTTTTCAAGTGCTGCAAGGAAATCCGGCAAAAATTCCAGAAAATTCTTTTGCTGAAATTTCGGAAAAATCCTCACCTGAAAAGCCAGTCGCCTTGGAACACAGCCTTCTGGAATGGTCTAGTTGGTTATGACGACTGCCCTAACACGCAGTAGGTCCCGAGTTCGACTCTCGGTTCCAGTATTGCACCATCATTCGAAATATGCGTTAGATTATGCGCCGTTTTGGAGTTGCTACCGCGTCTTTCGAATGCGGACGGTTTCTAGCGACTGCTCCTGGGGCACCGAAGCCCCTGCTACATACACGCCGGTGTGGCTGTGTGGTCTACTGGTATGCTTCTCGCTTTAAGTGCGAGAGGCCTCGAGTTCGATTCTCGACTCAACCCGCGATTAGGTGTCTTGCTGCTGAGCACGGCCTATAATGTAGACGGGCATTTAAGATCGCGGAGCTCACCGGGACCACGGAATGAGATGTCTCTTCAGCTTGCTGGAATGGTCTAGTTGGTTATGACGACTGCCTAACACGCAGTAGGTCCCGAGTTCGACTCTCGGTTCCAGTATTGCACCATCATTCGAAATATGCATTAGATCATGCGCCGAGTTGGAGTTGCTACGGCGTCAACTCTGGCTTCAGTGATCCTCACGTGTAACCTCTTCTATAGATATATTACCAAACTTAGTCGACTGGGTGCCACCCAGTGGGTGGTGTGGAGAGGACCTGAGGCACTTAGATCCCCACCTAAAGCCTCGGTCACGGGACAGGAACCCGTCGAACTGGTACCCCGTTCACAGTCCGGGACTTCAACGGGTCCGTCCCGTCACCCAAACCTCTCCACTATCCACCCAACATGGAAGCATTACTAGAAAGTTTCTAGTAGAAACACACCTACCGCATAGATATCTGATTACAAGTTAGTCCAGTAGAGCTCCTTCCTCTCAGCTTACAACGTGTCGCCTATTATCGCAGTCCATCAGTACCGCTTAACGGAGAATTTTCTCCGCCGTCCCCCTAGTGCGTCGGATCAAGGCGCTTTTAGCGTACCCCTACCAGGCTCTGCTCGACTGGCTCTAACCTCCTGTACATTTCGCCGTGCTATCCTCGTATGCTTCATCTACCAGGATTGTAGCTCCACTATGCCGGAAAGAGTGCACAGATATCCTCAGGATATTTTCCTGTCTTTGTTCCAGTCCTTGACCTTCGTTGGGAACCACCTCTTCATACTCGCCTTGAGAATTTGTTCGAACTTGTTCGTGCTCATCAGTGATACTCTTGGGAACAGCTTACCACTCTCCTGGCCCCTCAACTCCGCTCTATGCAACCAATGTGCCATGCAGAAATCTTCATGACAGAAGTAAGGGTACCCTCACTTCATTCTCACTGGCTTTAGTCCGACCCAGGCTCACCGTCCGGAGTAGAAATGGGCATCAGTACGGTACGGAGCCGTCCCGTACCGAGTACGGGAGTATGCCGTACCCGACTTGCTGCGTGCCTGTGCTGAGCAGCAGAATAAGAAGTGCAGCATCCCTCCCCGAGATGTGGTGACGAGATGGAATTCGACCTAGTATCTTCTTGACTGGTACAGAACCAATCGCTGTGTGTTTGATGATTATCAGCGTCAGTGCCTCAAGGGAGGTCGCGGTGACAGCCTCTACAGCCACTGCAAGAAGTACCAGCTACTTGCTGGGGACTACGAGGTCGTTGAGGATCTAACGGAGTCTCCGTTACGGAGACGCTCTCCTACTTCGTCGATGCCACGAAATTTTCAGCGACGAAGTTCTCCACCTTGGGAATGATAAGGCCCGTCATCGCTGGACTCCTCTCAATCCTTGAAGATGTTCAGGGAGGTCGCGGACGACGACACAAGATCAGGCAAAGCCTGGCAGGTGGCGTCAGAAAGTATTTCGCTGAGTTCCTTGCGGACAACACAACAGTCGGTGAACTTTGCACCTGTGCTGCCTATCTGAGCCCACAAGTAGCCGATACTGAACGTGAGGATGTTGCACAGGCTGCTGTAAGAGACTGCATGGAGGTCTTCGGCATTGAAGACCGAGTCATGACATTTCCGAGCGTGATGAGGATCAGGGCGGAACCTACAATTTGCAGTCGCGATGTGATCTACTCAAGCGTGTCAAGAGAAGGGAGCCATGCATTCGACAGGAAGACATGTCTACAGTGACAAGGGAGTTTCAAGTGTATGAGAGGTTATTAGCATCCAGGAATGCGGAGGCTGTTCCTTCGAACCCTCTGGAGTTCTGGAAAGTTACCCCGGAGCTACCCACCCTGTCAAGAGTGGCCTTCGAGGTGCTTTCCATTCCTAGTGGGTCAGTGGCGTGCGAAGAGATGTTCTCGGTATCTGGGAATTTGAGCCGTAACCGAAGGAGCAGGTTGTCAGATTCGATGCTCCGTTCGATAATGTTATTGAAAGAATACTAGTTTTTTTTGCTCGTTCCTTTGTAGTGTGCTTAGTTTTATTACAGTGCTTTTTGAGTATCGTGCCATGTAGTAATCATAAGAAAGGGTTTCCATCGAAACTTGATGACCATGTGTTGAGAGAGGGGGTCATTTGTAGCTGAATTATGACTATCTGGTGACCCTGGAAGTGTGCCGTGCCGTACTGTCGTACTGCCGTACCGTACTCAAATCTCGGGTTCTGTTACGGGAAACGTCGTACCGTACCGTACCGTAAAAAGTACGGTTTGCCCATCTCTAAGTTGTACCTTTCCTCAGGTGGCAGAATCAGCACGCGAGGTCTCAGTGCTGGGGAACCTGTCCCATGCGTCTTGTAAAATTAATTACGAGTCCATGGAGATCCACGTCTCCCGGTTTCCTGACTATACGCTAATGGAAGCGGAAACCAATCGGGCGACAGGTGTCCGCGTCCGAGTCCAATATTTGTGAGATCCCTCAGCAGTTCCGTTACGGGTCGTAGCCATGCATGATTGATGATCGTTGTTTCAGTTCCTACGAGAATGGTAATTGGAGATTCATCTTCCAGCCTGACTATGACGACAGTGGTCTCGGATCGGAGCTGAACGAACAGGGCTCGGCGGACCGCATGAATATGCTCTTCAAGCATGTGAACCCTTTCGACGAGATCTCGCGGCAAGACGTGTGGCTGACGGACAGGATAAATCGTGGAAAATTTTCGTTTGAAAATTTTCGACAGAAAGAAAAGAAAAATAAGAAAAAATAGAAAATTTACGGAAAAATAGGGACGAAAATGCAGAAATCTCCCGGAACCAGGGTACTTAAGTCGCAGATTTAGGATAAATCAATATCGGCCATCACGATATCAGCGACGTTTCGACACTCCATAGGAGCAATACTGAGTGAACGAGATTTATAGGCTTTGCCAATCCTTCTTAGTCCAGCTAGCGCTCTAAATTAGAACCGTTGGTGCTCGGCGGTAGCCTACCGCCGGTAGGTGACCGTCCATCTGCACAAGTCGTACAGTATCATGCGCGTCGCGCAACAAGCTAGCTACGCATGAACACAGGATATCGCAGCAACGTATGGTCTTGTCTCCGAGATAACTATCAGGTTTATCAACAGGAAATTCATGTCGTGAAATGCACGACGTGAATATACCATATCTCACGACCTAGACCGGGGCAGCTGTTGTTTTTCGCGAATTTTCTTCATAGTGCAGAAGTTGGACGAAAGATGCAGGCCTTGTTGTCCGGGTCCCTTTAAACTCCGAGACTCCCGGATCGGGAGTTTAGCTCCCCCGAAATCAAGTCGTGTCAAATACAACTCTGTTTGACTTGAGCGCAAGCACTGAGTCAGTGCTCTGCCACTGACACCCGGAATCTACACAGTGCACGGTGATACTGTATAGCTCGGAGCTCCGCCGTACATTAGTGACTAATGATTAGTCGGTTAGACCGCAATACTGTGGCAGAAAATATTCATGAAAATGCCCCAAATTCGCTCCAGAACAGCCATTTTTTCAATTTTTCTCTTCGGGCGCGCGCTTTCCGCATTTGAACAGAAAAATAGATTCTGTTATATGTTGGAAAATTTTTGACAATTTCGAACAGAAAGATGAAAATTTTCATTGTGTCAGCCACACAAGATTCTTCAAGATTCTTGAAGATTCTTGCCTTGGATAGCGAAACATGTTCTTGTGCGGCACAAAGTTAGCGGAGAGATTTGCAACTTGATAGCCGACTTTATCGAAGCAAACGCTCGCCCTGGCTTCGACGATCATCAGTCTGATGAAAGTTGGATTTACTTTTTCTTGCGGTCTGTAAAAGATGAGATTTATGATCTGATTATCGAGTATTTAGCCTAGTTTGTATGCCCTTTGGAAGATGAGTTCATTATGCTTTGCTGCCGCTGATGTTGCTGATGTTGATGACACCGATTGTTGTGTTAGATGCGCCCTGGAAATCCTGCTGATTGGCCTTGGTCTTGGGAGGCATAGTTAACACAACAGTAAATAGCTCTTAAGTGATTCGATTCAAAGAAACATAGCAAGACTCGTAGGCGCGCTGAACGTGAAGCTGTAGAGCATAAAATTGCGTCAGGTGTCTTAAGGGCAAGCGTACATTGCTGCACGCTACCTCCAGACGAGTTATCACTATGCTTGGGTGCGGCAGTGGTGTGGATGGCAGCCATCGGCCGTCCAGTAACTGGACTCCAGACTGGAATCTGGACATCCTCTCGGCAAAACTGGAGTCTCCAGTTTGCCGAGAGGATGTGCTTGAATTTTCTGATACTACGGCTCCTGCGACCCAACCCTGGATTAGATCATTCAACCCAGGGTTGGGTCGAAGTCTTCGACTCGAAGATGGCAAGGCTGTAGCGGTCTTCTTGCGGCGGGGTGCCAACCCTTGGCTGTTTCGGAGGTTACTGTTGTACTCCAACGCGATCCCTAATCTCTGAGCGGCCTAATCTCCCTAATCTAATCACGAATTTTTTTCGCCTGGTGAAAACGTTCCAAGCGGACTTATCATGCGCGATGTTGGTGTGGAAAAAGGCCCTGTTGTGTTCAATGCGCAATCAATCTCACGTAAAATAGTTATCGACAGCCGGGGTTGTTCCTGCGTGTGAGTTCAAAGTCTAACGCCGATTCCGGCTTAGACTCTTTACGGATTTGTTCTCCGATATGATTGCGGAGCACTCGGGAACCACAGTCCATATATTCTCCGACACAATTAACTTGCCTTCTGGAATATCCT